AACTGTAGACAAACTAACATTTGATTAGGCATATCGGTAATCATACTAATATTATAAACTAGCGCCGCGCGTGAATCCGTCCACGTGGAATTTAAAAAAAAAAGTGGCCTATGTGTTATTCCAGACTATCCTGTACATCTATGCCAAATTTCATCGAGATCCATTAAGCCGTTTAGGCCACAAACTCTAAGAAACATCCATCAAAACTTTCGCATCTTACTATTATTATAAATACGACAGTTTATCTGGATGTTTGTAGGGTTTACTTTTGTTTTTTTTATTCCACGCGGACGGAGTTGCGGGCCAAAGCTAGTTAACATCGAAAGTTGTCGTCTGTTCCATCATTTTCACCTGTGATAGCATGATTTTACCTAAACTGTCTGATCTACCAAATAGACTATAACTTCAAGAGTGAACCCACACTCGGAGTATTTTATTACTTAAGCAATACTTTAATGTGAATTTAATACTAAATGTATTGAGACATTTGTCCTCGAAAACCAAAATATTTCATTGTATAAAACATAATAAACTTTAAACAGATATCTAATCTATACTTGTAAATCCCTCATAGATTAGACAAGATTGAATAATTCTTACCCCTTTACGTTAAAGAAATTATACTAACGAATTACCACACGAGGCGTAACGAACATACATACAGCAAGTATTCACGTCTTTAAACAATAATTAGCCACCATGGTAGCATTGAGCGTAGGAAATGCGATTAAATGAATAATTCATAAAGTATAGCCGAAATAAGAAGTCCGTCCGTTTCTCAGAACACAAACCGAGTTCCAAGCGCCGGTTTAACGTATATCTAACGTTAAGAATAAAGGTCCGGTAATGATTATAATGGAATGAAATAAATGCAGTCAAATACGTGTATACAATTACAAACAAGAACTTGTTGCTGATCGAATAAATTTTATTTAATCGGTTTGTAATGTTGTTTAAAATGTAAAAGATTATATTAAAAAGTAACAATAGTAGTATATATGCAAAAAATTAGAAAAGTATATTAACAAAATAAGTATGTTTTAAAAACTATTTTGTCTACTAGCTGTTGCTCGCGACTTCGTCCGTCCGATAATATATTTTTAACGGTAAAATAATTTTTTAAAACCGGCCCAGTAGTTTTTGAGTTATTTCAATACACACATAAATACAAAAATAATAAACCAGGAGGTACAAACTTCGATAGTTAAGTACTGCAATAGACTTACTTACTTAGAGTTACTTAAGACCGCAAACAGCATTAAATTATATACTTACTCCTATAATTACTTCGGTTAAAATTAAATCGATAAAATAAGAATTCAATAATTACCTAAAGCTTTTAAAATTTAAATGTACCAAAATACATAATAATACTCACTTAAAGCCTGAAATACAAAATTAAATTTATTAAATAAAATGGATCTAAGTGTCTAAAACATTATTTAAAACTGCAAAATAAAACGTTGAAATACGGTTTTCGAATTGTCGACTCACGACCCAGCTTGTCGCATTTTACTGCGCGCCGTAAAAAACAGAAAAAAAAGGATTTTTCTGAATTACATTTTTGTTAAAAAGAATAAAGGCGTTATAAATAACCCACGACGGTTTTTGTATCCGACAGGGAACGGCGAAATTGCAACTAAAAAAAGGACAAACAAAAATGTAGCTATAAAACTTTTAACTTGAATTTTTTTTACTATTTTTGGTATGAAAAATATTTATTGCAATTTTGTTATTAAAATTCAAACAAATCTATCTACGGAGATTATATTAAAAATGTACATAACTAGAAACATTGTTACCGCAAAAAGTGTAGCTAGAAACATTAGCTAAACACGTGTTTAACACTTTAACCGCCACAGATGGATATCTGAACATCAAAGTTGCATGTTTCACAACAAATAATAATGATAGAGATATGCTTTCGGTATAAGTTACTATTTATTGATAAAGAAAGCATTTCGGAAGCCTACGTAGAAGAATGTTTCAATAGGCAAGATTTGTTAAAAATCTGCGCCGAAAGTGAAAAGGTTGACTTTTTTTAAACCTTATACTCAACAGATATCGATTTAATCTTCGGAAAACCCGGAAAAAATACTGGATAAATATAAAAAAAACTTAGCTCTATTACTTCTGTTTTCCAAAGGGTATGACAGGGATAAAAATGTGTTTCCACTATGAAATTCTGTGGTAAATGTTTGTATTGTAAATTTCGGCACTACAATTAGTAATACAAAATAAGTAACGATTCTTATACCAAATTTAAAAATGACAAATATTTTAATACGTATAAAACATGTTACAAGAGCGAGCCACCTTTATATCAAGCAGGTGCATAAAGCTTTTATTCTTATTTATTGAGGGAACATAAAAATAAACGACCAAATGCCATCACAATTATTGACAATGTCTTTTGGACGTCATTTGTAACCGACGGGAAATTTTCATAATACCACACTATGATCACTATTTAGTACTTTTAATTTTTTTATCTGTACAAACAAGCTACAATTTTATTATCCTGTACAGCACATGTATAATATTGAATTTAAATATCGAACATAATTTTTTTACGGAACCTGAATTTTTGAAACCGACTATTCTCCAATAGTTTTTTTTAAATGTTTTTAGCTTAACTTCAACATAACAGTTTAGTAAGACCATGTATACTCCCTAAATATTATCTACAGCAGAGATTTGATTGCATCCTATAGGTTTCGAATCTACAGAACCGACTGTCAGTATTATTTAACTGTTGGGAAACTGCTTTATCTGTGGACATTTCTAGTTTTTTATATTCTGCACTGAATCGCAGAAAAGCTTTTCTATACTAATATTATAGAGAAAAAAATTGTTTGTTTGATTGTAATGATTAGGCTCAAAAACTACTTGGCGGATTTTAAGAATTCTTTCACCGTAAGAAAGGTAACTTATCTTTGAGTAACAAAGGCTAAATTTTTTCATTCCTTTATTATTAATTTTCCACGCGGACGGAGTCGCGGGTAAAAGCTAGTATCTAATAAGATTAATTTTCTCTCTGTTAATCAGAAAATTTTTACTTCGAGACAACTATGCGTATGCGTCTTGTAATCCGCCCAAGCATTGTTCTATCGTTTTGAGGTTACAACAAAAATGTAAGCGTGCGACGTGACAAAAAAATAGTTTAGTTTTCGAGTTTGTCTGCAACAATCATATCATTCTTCTGAATAATATTAATATGGATGAATGGTTCTGTATTTAAGATAAAGACAATTTAACGTTTTGATACATAACTATATGTTTAAAATTATGATTAAGGTTAAGATATATTTTATTGTTTCATTTTTTAAAGTTTACATTTAAGCTGTAAAGTTTTAATGTTCAATGTATTGCATAAGTACATTTAATTTATTATCTGTAAAGGTCCTATAAATTATTATATAGAAAGTAAAGGTATATTTGCACTTTTATACAATGTAATTAAGTTGCCATTTTAAAAAATGGAACATAAATTATACTAAAACGTTTATGATTTTAACATAAAATGAACCTTTCGTTTAAATTCGCTTTTATAGTATTTAACCTCCAGTTATTAGGGCGTGAAAATGGCCACTACAAGATTCTAGATTATATTCCCCAACAGTCCACTTGTTGAAAAATATTTAATGAAACCTTAACTTCAGTTTGAATTATTAAAAAATTTAAGCTAATAAAACAAACCCGGCTGTATTTATTGCAAAGTTAATTTGGCGCCAAATTAGAAAAAAACGGGAGTGATGCTAGAAGCTTCTTTAAATTAACGGCAGTTGATATTGATTTTCATAGCGAAAAATCAAATAATAAGAACAAATTTGTATTTTAAAGTCTCTAAAATTAAAGTATTAATCTGAATATTTAATTGTTATTTATTACAGTAATAAATTACTAAAATAAGGCACATGTGAACGAAAAATGATTAGCTTAAAATCTGAGCGTTCGAATTGATTTAGGTAGCCATTTTGTATTTTTTTCTTAGATACCATGGACAATATTTCAGAATAATTTACAATAAGATTAGTACGTAGAATAATTTTTGATATAAGATAAAGAAATTTTAACAGCCTATTAATCATAATATTACTATATAAACCAATATTTTATTTGATTAATTATTTTTCAGCCCTACATTAAATTGTAAACGAATATATGACGAAAAATTACGGTAAAGTTTCAATAACCGAACATTATATGAATGCAACTTTTGGCGGGAACGTTAACGTTGATTATTTTGAGCATTTAAAAAATCTAAAATAACGGACATCTAACAACATCCGTTTGTACTATTGTTTTAAAACTTGAAATATACTCTCCGTGCTATTGAGTCTGTTAAAAAAAGTTAATATTAGTATCATTTATTACGTAAATCATTAAATTAGAAAAACGACGTTTTTGTTTATTTTTAGCATTGTCACTTTACAAAAAACGATTGTTATACAAGATTAGGGTAGTTGCATTGTAACTGTGCAATGCACGTGTTAAATAAATAAATTTGACTTAAAATTGTTTGTTTTATGATTATTGTAAGTAAATTAGTTTATAACGACAGTTTAGTAACTAAATGAATAGGGTAGGTACTAAATATTCTACTGTGAATTTTCGGACAAAAAAGACACTGTTTTGATTAGTTTCTTGTTACAAAACTTTTAAGTGTTTTAGGTTATTCAAGGTGTTTGTTTTTAATTTTTATATTGATTGCAAATAGATGCAAAGTTCACCGTTCACGCGGCATGATCATTTCACCGGGAACGATAACGTATTTAATTATATTATAAATTACCCGACACACTTCTCAAGACTGATAACAAACGCCGACGGCGCCGAATGCACATAAAACGAAGTGAAACGACGGATGTAGACATGCAATGATTCAAACTAGTGTGATTGTAAAACGGCGCCCTTTTCTAACCAATGTTATGGTAACAGACCACGGGCCAGTGACCCTTCAAACGCTGATGAGCCATAATTAATCGGCCGGCACATACCTAAACACGACGGGCATGGCGCTGTCCACGCGCCGCGAACTCCAAAAACACGTTCAAAAACGCACTTTGTTTAACACAACACGCACGTTACATTCTCGTTATCACACACTGTCGTCGCTTGTTGCACTCGCGATGCACGTTATGTTGTACACTCATTATTTTGTTTATCGGCAGTCGTTCGGGATCGGGCGGCGGGCATGAAGCGAACCGCAGCCGTCCGAGCGCCGCGAGTCTACTGCAAACAACAATGGTGCGACGCGAGAACGAGCCGCCACTAACACAGGCGCGCTCGCACGCACACAGCCGCGCCGTGCACCGACATGCGCATATAAAAAACCAACGATCGGTATGCAGACGTTCGGTTTGAGCAGGTCCTCGGCTTGACGCTGTTTTCGTCTGCGGTTCAGGGTGGCCAGTACGCATTAAATTATTCCCAAAATTATAAAAAAAAATTCAAATGTTTTGTTGAAATTTCATGTGAAAAAGAATTAATCGCACTAGAATTATTATAACTTTTAGATTTCAGTGATTTTAAAATTTTTACAAGTCGAAATTATTTTATTAATCATTAAAATACTTAAACTTTGGTTTTAACTTTACTTCACTAAAGTTATCTTTAGTAGATTATTCACGTCTTTTATATGAGAAAGTCTGAAAAAACTTTTATTGTAAAACTTAAATGAAGCACATAAATACATTTTACTTTTAATTTTACATGAAAGAGAAGTTTCCCGTTACAAGTATCTTAGCATACATATTTGCAAAACTATAAATTTAAGCAAAAAATTTTCCCAACTCCGAGTAAAATTTTAGCGTATGGCAACATTAAAAACAAAAGAACGGCAGTCAGCGAACCTTGAGTGGGCAGGCGATACGATTCGAGCCTGCGCCCGAGTCCGCGCGCCATGTTGCCAGCGCCGAGAAGGAGACGCCGCTCTACAATCATCTCGCCGTCTCGCTCTCTCGCTTGTTAGCGTTATTGCGTGCCGTAACTATACTCGTCAGCGACTGTACCACACACCCACACGCACATATTGTTATCTTACACAAAATTTATAACGAGCAGGTCGGATTTGGTCTCGGCCGCGGACACTCCTAAATTCTTTGCGGAAGGATTTCTTTTTTTCGATTCTTACGCCTTTTGGTCGAGCTTCGGGCAATATTAAATTATACTGGTGGCTAATACATAGTTTGTTTAGCTTTCGGTTCGTTATTTTGGCGGCACTGTATTTGCTCGGAGACGGATCTCCGGTCGCCGCTAATTACACTCAATTGCTGTTGATTTAGGAATCATAACTCTGTATTGGAATTAATATTAAAATATTGTTTTGTTTAGAAATCAAAACAAATGTGATAAGTGTTACCACATTTGTTGTAAATGTGTGTTTTCAGAAAGTAACCTGTGGATGAAAAACCTTTTTTGAGAGTTTTTGAGAGTTTGTGAAGTTAGTCGTTGGTTCGAATCTCAATAAACTTGTATGAATTATGACACGAATCATTGTTAGTTAAAGGATTAGTTTCAATATATCTAATAGTAATTAGGTTTAGGCATCAACTTATTTGTCCGATGTTTATAAACAGATATACGATGCCATGCCATACGTGATAAGATTCCGAGAATGTATGAACTGTAGGTTTCAAATTACATCTAACGCTACCATGAAGATATTGTTCTGTGTTCGAATTTAAAATGTTGCTATCAACTAAATTAATAACTATAAAATATAGTAAAGCGATGTCAGGTGAATACGTTATTGTTTTACATTGATCTTTTACACTTGGCGATCTAGAACCTGATCAATATAACAACTATTTATGTCAACAAAATAATTCGAGCAGATTATAAATTGACTTTCTCTATCTATACTTTAATATAATAAAACGTAAACACACACTTCTTTGTTGCCTAAGATGTCAGCAATTACAGCATATTTTTGAATAACTCTTCCTTTAATAAAAAGCCCTACACTTCCGTTACGCTTTAGGCTATATGTTTTCACGCCATTTCACTTAGGGGTAAACATTTTGGATAAAAACCCTTATGTGGAAAAAGAGACCATAAATTGCTGCCAACATCAAGGAATCAAGGTTTCCCATGGTTTGACATCATGTCATGTCATTTTAACATTTGCTATTGATAATTTGACAAATTTAAACAATAAAATTATTTTTTTATAAATTTATGCGGATGAAGTCGCATGGGAAGAGTTAGTGTTTAATGAAAGTAACATTTAAACATGCCTATTTTTTCTGTACTAACAAACTATGAGCAAAAAAGAAGTGTAGCTCGAAATAAAGTTTATTACTACTATTATATTGTGACACTCACGTTATCAAAAAATGTTTTATTAAAAATAACATTTTATAATTTGATTTGAACAGCTGTAAAATTCGTTATAGTTAAAAAATAGCGAAAATTATTCGTTCATTTTAATGCCTTAATATTTTTTACGTGAATTTATTTATAAAACAGATGACAATTTGTTAGTTTAATAAAATGGAAATACTAAACAATTTCATTAAATGATATAATCGCTACATGAGACGATTACTGTTAAACGCGTCAGATTGTAAACTGATAAATTTAATAATCGACCGGTGACATACATTAAAGGCAAAGTTAATATATAGTTTTTATTATTATTATTATTAATAATAATAATAATAATACACATTTAATCAGTTCCAAAACAAACTGCAACACAATACAACATAATACACTTATTATTGTTCCTTTCATGAAAAAAATTATGGGTGCTAATAAAATAACCTATTTGGTGTCTTAATTATTTTTGTTACAATTAAAAATCATTGATATTATTTGCACAATGATTCAAAAGGTATATAATTTACAAATATTTATTTGTGGTCGTAGAAAAATGTATTTCGTAATTAATACATCATTTGGTAAGCGAATTTATTGTGTAACAATGTCATTACCGCGAAATCGTTCGATTCGAATTATTTTCAGCGAATATAAATTAAATAAACCCTTATTTATGGCAACACTATCGAGTTGACAGATTAAAATGATTTTTAAAAACTTTCTTTTAACTTGAACCGTGGATATCCACTTCTAAAACAATAAAAAAGTACAAAAACATATACAATATTAGGTCTTATCCGAAGTAGCCATTACATCTATTGTACATTTTAAGATTGATTAAGAAGAGTGCAGCTAGCTCTGCCGACGCCCATAATCATTTGTCTCTTTCTCTCTCTCCCTACATCGTTTCCTCATCTCTTCTTGAACATTTACCGAAGAGTATTTCTCCAGTCTGCCGACCTCTATGAAATTTATACCAAATACTAAATAAACTAATGTCGGCACATTCCTTAATTAAAAAGTAATAAGAAGTGTTAAATTATAAACTTGTCTACTACCAAAATCAAACAACTGCGTAATGATGTTTGAATATCACGATAACTATAATTACATTGTAACACGTTTGTCAGAAATCATGACTAATGATATCTTGACACCTTGTTTAGTTAATGTTGACATAAATATAGCTATGTACAGTCGCGAAATTAGGCAGTATTCAAACTTTAAAAGTTCCTTGAAACAGGCCTTTTTACACGATGTATATGGCGAGAAAAATTTTCATTGGCAACACTGATTAGCCCGCAGTGAATGTGACGCGACCGCGTAGAGACTCGCCCTGAAGATGGACCCCCCAATGGTTCCGAAATTAGTTGGTGCCACTACCGGAAAAATAGACATGAGTGCTAGTGCTAGCCGATTCATAATTAATTATAATAATGTCTCACGAAAGTTTTAATAATTCAACTTTCATTTCATTATGGTAAGCCAAATTTTTATGTTTCCTAATCATATAATTACATTTATAGAAAAAAAGAAAGATGTAGGTTAGAATGTTTCTAAATTACTGTCAACGGCAAAAAACTCAAGATGGCGGTTAAAATTAATTCAACAAAACATTTTATCTAGTCTATTTTAATTTACATGATTTTAAACATGATTTCTTTACAAAACAAATTAGTTATACTCCAGCTTGAAAAATACATATAGAAAAAAGAATTAAACTAATATTTCACAACTTTTGTTTCATAATTTTTCTTAATTGCAATATTGTTAGGTTATAACGATAGGTATGTTCAACTTAGCAACCACTGTTCGTTGAAAAATGACGCTATCGACGGCGTTCTGTAACATAACACTGGTTGTCAGCGATTTGTTGTAATCAGTGTCATATGACACCTTACTTGCTACTTCGTGTTAAATTTATTAGAGGTTATGTTGTAAAAAAAATCATCAAAATTATTTCGGTTAAAGGTAAGGAGCTCAAGAAAAATATGAAGCCAGAACCCAGCCCATTGTCATAAATTATGTGCTAGCAATTTTATGACAATAGAAGGAGTTAGGAAGATATGCAAGCAACTTGCTGGATTAGGTAATGTTCCAAATTAAATTCTTAAACACGTAATCAAGCAGCCTAGTATAAAATGTGGATTAAAAAAAATAAATGTTCATCTTGCCTGATATAAAACGCAGAATATGCCCTATAAGCTTTTAGTTTTTTCCCTAATTACAGATTACAGGTAGACTATATTTTGCTTCTGAATGTAATCTATCCAATTAATAATCTTGTGGAAATAATTGTTTTTTCTTGAACGGCCAAATATTTTGAACCTACTAGCGCCATCTATTTTGCAGATGAACAATATTTGTTTTTCTTTTCAAAGATATGCTATAGATGTCGCTAGGTACCATACTGATTTAAAAGCGACGATGAAAAATTTCCTCTGTTAAATTAACGAATAACTTTCATTATCACGGTTTAAAAAAATACGATTTGTAATAAGCGAAATAATAATTTTCTTCATGTGCCATCTAGCGGACGCGGAAAACACTGAACATTTGAAGATTGATTGTGTTTTCACTGTATAATAATAGATGTCGCATCGTCTGTAATCTTTTAGGTCGGATGGTATAGCAAAGAATAAATACACAGGAATAAAGAAACACCATTTCGGATTTTGCTTAAAACTCGAATTAGAATTTTGTAAGTTTATGTAGAGTAAAAAAACTTGGGATAAATTGTCTTTTCTATTGATGATTTTAATAAATAGATTTGAATTATAATTTTTAATTTACATTAATAATTATTCAATATTTATTATTTTTATAATGGCAATAGGAATAATGTTTCACAAAACGACGTAATTTGAAGCATAGATTGTGTTTACTAGATTTGAAAATTATACTAATACATCCGATATCCTTTATAATATTTTACTTAATTACATAAATAACAAATAAAAATCATACCATGTTAATTACAAGTTAAAGATTACTTGTCCTATTACTTACATTAAATGCGTCCGTTAAATACTTAAATTACGTTAATAAGAATAATATTATTGTTGCTTTAACATTTAAAAATTCTAGCTTAATCTATACTAAGATAATAAAGAGGAAAGATTTGTATTTTTGTATGTATTGAAATAACTCAAAAACTACTGGGTCGATTTTAAAAATTCTTTCACCGTTAGGAAGGTAATTTCTCTGTGAGTAACATAGGCTATATCTTTTATTATTTTTTAATTTCACGGAGACGAAGTCGCAAGCAACAGCTAGTCTTTACTAATATCATGAAGAGGCAAGATTTGTATTTGTGTATGTATTGAAATAACTCAAAAACTACTCGGACATTTTCTAATTCTAATATTTTTTTAATTTCACGCGGGCGGAGTCGCGAGCAACAGCTAGTAATTAATAACTTTAATATTTTAACAAAAGAAACAAGCAAGAAGTTATTTCAATTTTATTTTTGTTTTAGTTAATAAAAAACAAAATGTCACAACTAAAAGGCTACTAACATCTTTCTATAACACTCCTAATTTTTTTAAACTCACCAACGAAAATTATAAACTCACTTTATACTCGAGTTTTAGTCAATCATACCAAATTCTTGTAAGTTGTAAAATAACAATCCAACGTACAATACATGCGATGGAAATATCAGTAACGTCATTTTAAAGCTATCTAAAGCTTCTATTAGCCAGTGGTGGGACAGGCCCTTAATCATGGATTCACGAGTCATCGACATTTAATTTGTGCAGCGACCTCTACCGGATATAAAAACCAACAAATCTCATACAATTTTTGTAGATAAAATTAAAAATACGTTCTCACTGTCACATTAGAAATCATGATTGACCTATTTTATGTCAGATTTATGTAATTCACTGGTACATTTACAAATTACACATTACGCATTACATATTACCCACCAACACCTCACATATAGTTTTAATTTCTTGTTTATTTTCTTTAAATATTTATGTACTTGTTTCTGATACAATTAATTAATAATGTTCTTTTTTTTCTTGTGTTGTAAGTTTCATTGTGGTCTGTAGAGCGGGGGCCTCCATCACACAAGGCCACCCTAGTTTGGACACCAGTTCCCTGCCCAAAGGGAAAATCAATAAAGCTATTCATTTGACATATACGTTGGTTTACAGGCTTACCTCTGAAATCTTACTTTTTACTAAATATGACGAAAATTAATTAATATTCAAGGAGAACCGGCGCTGCGTATATGCCGTAGATAACTCGTCTTGAATCCAATGACTTTCGACCTTTTAGACAACGGTCTTGGAAGTTTTCCCTACTTTATTACTATGTAAGTTTTATGACGGTTTTGTTAAGCTAACACAAGTTATAATCTATATCTATACTAATATATAGAGAAAAGATTAGTATTATTCTATTTATTGAAATTAAATACTTAAAACTGAATTAATACCAGTACGTTGGTGCCTATTTTTAAGAACAAATGTGATGTTCAGAACTGCAACAACTATCTTATCTGTTCCTCCTTGTTATCGACGCGTTAACCGTGGAGATCCAGGTGGATTGTGTAAAAGGTGACAAGATAGGTGACAAGGTGACAAGGGAGTGATGACTGAGATGACGTATGATAGAGTTATGTGGAGGACAAAAACCTGTTGCGCCGACCCTACGGGAGTAGGATAAGGAGGAGACGATGATGACGATGATGATGATGATGATTGGGCCGGCACGCCCGGTGTAACACCACGACCACACAGAAGACAGGCGTGAAATGGAAGCAATTCCGTGTTTCGTCTGATGAGTGTGGTG